ATTGGTACATCTTTTGCAGAATTATATGAGATTATTGTGCAGTTTCTTCATCAGGAATCATTTTTCAAGTGAGAGGATTCTTTTCCCTGGCATTCTCTCTTAATCCTTTAATCATTCTCTGTGATCCTTCCATGTATATTTCTTCTTTAATCCCTAACTAGATTATTTGCCATTGGCTTTGAGTGGGCTTCAGTCATTTACAGCACTAATATGACTTTGATGGACCCCATTCAATTCTGCCTTAGTTGCTGATTCCTGGTTCTAGTTTGCAGCCCATTTACAGAGTTTAGTCACCATGTCGCTGGATGTCCCCACAAGGGACACTGTAAGGATTAGAAGTGTATGTGTGTGTTAGCATACACTCGCTGAATGGGAAAGCCCTCTGCTTCACTTTTCCTACATGGGGTGTGCTCATTTGGATTCAATATCTTTCCCTGGAAGACTCCATTTTTTATAATAGGTCAGTTCACTTACAGATAGGCTCCTGCTATGACTACTTCCGCTTCCCTGTGAAACATTCTTCTGAGCTCCTAATGTGGAGTCTGTGGGTAAAGAGAACTCTGGGGTGTATTTAGCTGGAGACCTGGGATGGCAAGCATTTCCGGAGGTCGATATTGTTGTCAGGGGTGAACTGACAGTAGCCTGAGTCTTACAGTATTATTCCTGACAGATGGCTCAATGCTTGAGAAAGGTAGTAGCAAGCTTGGGCACCTGGGTATGTGAACAGGAATAAGGGTCTCAGAAGATAAAGGTAGCCAAGGATGGTGAGATGCGATTTTGGTTGTTTTACTCTCCACGTGAAAACAGACACACACCAACTAGTTGTACTCACTGGTACTTTAGAAAAATTCCTTTTGGTTTTTTAAGTCTTTGATCCTGTTCAGAAGTCAGCACCCTTGACAAGGCTGAGTGTTGAGCTGCTAACAGTCACTCCAGCAAATCGGAGGGTTTGGTAGGGGAGTCTTGGAGCAGGGAACAGTGGGAGTGCTGAGGAGGGGGAGAGCCTAGCGCCAAGTGCAGCTCAGGGTGCTGACCTGCTGGACCTGAGTGGATGGACCCTTCGGGTGTGTTTGAGACTTACTCACATGGCTGAGGTTTCTGCGTGTCCAGGGAACTTGCCTCTTCCATGTCCTTGCAGCGGCCTAAGTTCTGCTTCTTTAATACCCGAGCCTCTGGTCTGGTTAGACACCCTTCCTCCTTAAGGTTGCTGCGGTGGGTCAGTCGGGCCCCAGCCCTGGCTTCTGTTGCTCTTAGTTCCTGTCCTGATCCTTTCCCTGTCCGCATCTGCTACCCTCCCGGTCCTTGCCTTTTCTCCCTCAGAGTTCTCGGCTGCCCGTTCTGTTTCCACCATAGCCTTTACTCTTTATGTCATGGATAGTCAGCATTTGAGGACATTTGGCTTTGCTTTGAGCATATTTATTGTAGGTTTGTCCTCTCACATATGGATATGTGTTCTCTCACTGAGCATTTCTCACAGTGTGTCCCATGAAAACATATGATCATATTAAACACAAAAAGGACTTAAATCAGAGAAGGAAGTGATCATTGCAATAAATCAGAGAGGGAATTGATAGTTTTAGCAAAGATTGAAAACCTTTTGTTTGTTAACCATAGTTTTCTGCAGAACTTTAATTTACAAATGTAGATTCTGAGAGTTCCTGTGAAATGTTTTTCATTGTAATTTACTTGTGCAAGAACTTTTTTTTCATCTTGCTGGGCCAGTATTCTGCAGAACACAATTTCTAGAATGGTTGCTATTACTGGCTTCGGTTCTAGAAGGATAGAAACTACATTGTCCTCTACTGTGGATACTCATGTTAGTTGAGGGTATCAATAGGTGGGTTGCAATAATTTTTTTAGTAAACTCTTAGGACAGTTATTTGTTTGGCAGGGTCTCACTGTGAGTGCAGCCTGGCCTCAAACCCCACCTCCGTGTGATCTTCCTGACTCAGCTTCTCCCATGCTGGTCTTATAGGTGTACTCTGCCACACCTGGCTGTTTGAATTTTTTAAAAAGACGACTTTTTTTGGTGGTAAGATTCATATGAAGTCCACCATTTTAAAGCACAAAATTCAGTGGCATTTAATATGTTCATAGTGTTGTGCAACTGTTACCACCGTGTCGCTCCAGAACATTGTCATCATTGTCCCTAGGAGGAAATTTTGTACCCATTAAACATACAGTCTCCATTTTTCTCTGAGCCCATGGCAACCTATGGATGTGCCTATTGGAACATGTTATATAAATGTACCCATACACTATATGACCATATTTTGGGCTTCCTTCAGTTAAATTTTTTTTTTTTTTTTGTACCGGGGATCAAACTCAGGACCTTGCACTTGTGAAGCAGGCAGCAGAACTACTGAGCTAAATCCCTGGCTCTTCAATAAAATTTTGATTAAGGTAAAGGTCAGTTAGCTCAGTGGTTCTGCCATCTGCCTTGCCAAGTACAAGGTCCCAAGCTTGATCCCTGGTACCAAAAGAAAAAGATAAAGGTCAAACCTGGATGATACCTATGCTCCTTCAAAGCAGCTCTTTATCATTGACCAAAGGCCTACAATAGATAACTTTAAAAGCAGTCATCTGTGTAGAAACCTCTGTGGCCAGATGAAAAGTAGCATAGGACACATTAGAAAAGGGTCAGAAGTTTATGCACCATTGCTGAGTGGACCTGGGGTTTCAGAAAGCAAGCTTGAACCGTGCTGGCTTGAACTGGCCCTAAAGCCCTTTCCTAGAAGTCAGAGGTGACTGAGCTATTGCCACAGTTGGCTTGTCTCCCCCCACCTTTTTTTTGTACCAGGGATTGAACTCGGGTCCTTGCACTTGCAGGGCAGTTGGCGGAACCTGTGAGCTAAAGCCTCAGCCCTACTCATCCCTTTAATGTGATAGAACATCCTAGGGTGGCTTTTAAAAACTGGATACCAAGAGCTCCCTTTTTCCTCCCTCCTTTCCTTCCTCCCCCTCCATTTCTCCCCGTTTCCTCTTCTTTTGTCTTAGAATTCCCTCAGAGGGTGTACCCCCCACCCTCTTATCCACTGCAAAGACAGTTGCTGGCCAGCACCTTTTAGCACCTCTTGTACATTGTTCCATGGGATTCAGGTTCCAAGGACCTCTCATCTCTGAGCTACACCCTTTGCCCTCCTTTACTGTGGTCTCTGGAATCCTGCATACTGCTGTCCCGAGGTGTGTCATGAGTCTGCCGAAACACCCATTTTCACTGTACCTTCTTCTGCCTTTCTTGGTATCCAACTCCTTTCCAGCTTTTGTGCCTTTCTCTTTGCTTTCTCTGTATGGACTGTGGCCCTTTCTTCTCTCTTTGATCAAGCCAGTATCATTCTCCTTCTCCCTCCATGTCATCTGTTAGCATCCTCTTCCCAGGCTTGAAATTACTGGCTTGCCTGATCAGTCTCCCCCTTCCCTCAGAGCTGACTTGAGGCTTAGCAGGTGCAGAGTTCCCCACACATTCTAACAACTCTTGCTGCTTGTGATAAGTTCATGTTGTGTTCAAATACAGCAGAAGTTAGATTTTCTGTCCCCAGTCAGGTGGCAGTTCTCTGACAAAAAGACCATAAAGTAATCAGGTAGAGTGGGAAGGCATCAGACTATCAGTCCAGGGGCCAGGTCACCTTGGGTATGCCACTTGCTGGTTGTGTTGTCTTTGAAGCCACTTATCTTGAACCCCTCTTCTCATCTCTAAAATGAGAGAGGAAGTGATGCCAATTTATTCTCATACATTCTAGAAGTCCAAAGTCCAAAGTGAGTCTGCAGGGCTGTATTCCTTCTGGAAGCTCTAGGGGACAGTCTGTTTCCATGGATTATCTGACTTCTGGAGGCTGCCTGCTTTCCTTAATGAATGGTTTACTTCTTCATCTTTAAAGCATATTACTGTGGTCTCTATTTCTGTTGTCACATCTGAGTCTCTCCCATGCCTCCTTTTTACCTCTTAAGGACTCTTGTAATAGATTGGAAACTTTTCCATCTGAAACTTAATCATCAAGCACAAGGACCTGAGTTCGATCCCCGGTACCCCCCACTCCAAAATAAATAAATAAATAAATAAATAAATAAAAGAAAAAGAAAAGAAACTTAATCATATCTGCCAAGCATCTTTTGTTATGTAAGGTAACTTATTCACAGGGTCTGGAGATTAGGACATAGATGTCTTTGGGGGCTGTTATTCTGTCTGCAATAGATTTTTAGTCTCCTATGTCTTTAACTTGCTACAGATCTAAAGATATATCTTTTACTTATGTAAGTGCTTAAGACACATGGTGCTGGGCTCAAAACATGTTAAGTCATATTTATCAACAAGATTTTGAATTTCCAGATTATTGTTAGGGTTATTCTAGGGCCTGCTACAATTTAGTGATAGTACTGTGAGCATGAATCTTAGGATTGCTCTGGTTTTCAAGCTTTTATATGAGAGAATTTGATGGTACTACTCTACCTATTTTTAATTTTGTGCTTTACAAATTTTTTAAAACCTGAAAGAACTTCATCCACTTTCCATTAGCCAGGGATGGCCTTCTGCAGCCTGTTAAGTTATACTTGTGTTTCTGCCACTTTTCATAATTCGGGATGTATCTTCAGGTCTTCGTCTATAAGTTGAAGAAAATGTGTTGTTAAGATCTAGAAGCCAAACAGTCTTGTATTCTAACCTAGGTGGTGTCATTATAATTGCTACTTAGTGTTAAACTTATGGTATTTCACAGCAATTCAGATTGGCAGTATATGGGATTTTACAGTGTTTCCCCCCCTACTCCCTTTTTGCCTTGAATGACCACGGGGCATCCATAAAATATATTTGTATAGTAGCTTGATTGTGTTCTTCTCGTGCTCTGCTCATTATCTTGAAATAGAATTCCTCAAAAGTTGATACAACTGTTCCTGCCTTTAAGTTTTAAGTCTACCTTTGGCTGGAATATGAGAAGTGCACAATATGAATCGAGCAAATATGTAGCTGGCCTATTGAAAATTTTTTTTTCCATTTTATCTCCTAGATGCACCCACTGGGCCTATGTAATAACAATGATGAGGAGGACTTGTATGAATATGGCTGGGTAGGAGTGGTGAAGCTGGAACAGCCAGAACTGGACCCCAAACCATGCCTCACTGTCCTGGGCAAGGTAAGCACCCAGCCCTCCAAATTGCTGCCATTCTGGTTGGTGTTTTCCACTCAGACATTTCCCCAGCATTTCAAATACAGTAATGGCTTGGTTCACAAATGCTTCTGTTTGCAAACAGTTTGGTTCACAAACAAGCATTCTGGCAAATCTTGCTTCTGTTTGCAAATTTCGTATCAAATGAGAAACAGGACCATGGTCACCTTCCCCAAAATCATAAAACAAATTAAATTTTTAAATCAAGGTGCCACTGCAGTTGGTTATGGGGAAGAGCCAGTCCTGCCAGCTCTCCCTCATGGCTGGAGTGGTGTGAGTCGAGGAGTCAGACAGGTCTTGCAGCAGCCTGTTACTGTTCATGGGCTTGGATTCTGAACGAAGCTGCCAGCCTCAGTTGGTCGTCTGCTTGGTAGCTTTGGTCAAGTTGTTTCCTCTCAAGGAGTCTCAATTTCTTGTCTCTCTAAAATGGGTTGATAGCAGACTTTCACAGTACTTTATCTTACACCGTTGGGGCCAGAAGTTTCAGAATTCTGAGATTTGGGGGGCTTATAGGATATAATTTTCTATGAAGTAATCTCCAGGGGATCTGGGACAATACTCAGTAATCATACACATTCAAATTTGTGCAGCAGACCACATGATGGATATTCACATTAAGTGGACTAGCTGAAATCTAAACAGCTCATGTTAGTTCAGGACAGTTTTTTCTCTAAATGAGTTCAGGACCATTAAATTCTGCTGTGAAGTAATTTATGAAAAAACTTTTGGATTTTAGAGCTTTTTTGGTTTTAGAATGGTAGACAGCAATTATGATCCTGTTTAGAACTTACCTCATAGGGTGGTTAGGAGGTGAAATGAGATGTAAATATCTTATGCTAAAGTGAGCCTTCAAAAAACATTTTCTGCCATTGACTGTTGTCACCCCATTTAGAAGTACTAAAAAAGACTTTTTAGCCAAGAAGATCAACATTACTTCTGACTGCAGTATAAGATCAAAATAAATTTACTTTGGAAAACCATCCATCAAGGACCTTAAAATATAGCAGGTAACAGTCTGTTTCAAAGTAGATCATTTTGCTGAAAGGAAAGGTTCAGAGAAAGTTATTTGAATTTTTGGTTGAAGGAAAGGTGGTCTCCCCTAAGGATAATGTTATTGTCTGGACATTTTTTATATTCTCAAAAGCTGCACTTCTAGGTACTATGGGAAAGGCTACTAGAATGGGGTGGGGGAGAACAGGTAAGAGAAGAAGTGGTTTTGACTTAAGAGAGCCAGAGACCCAAAGAAGCCCCCTGCTAGTGTCTTCTGAATAACCCCTGACCCCCGAGACCCTCACAAATCTAATTTGTGATTTTTGTGTCCTCTTTATTTTAAGGGCACTTGTCAAATTTCCTTGCCTGTTTGTTGAAGGGTGAAAGCCCAGAGGAATTACTGCCTGTTTGGTTTGTAGTTCGTGAAGTTGAATCAAGGTGTTTTAGGTGGCTCAGGCTCTGATACTTCATTATTTAAATAGGTGGCCAGAGCTGCTTGATGGTGGTAGAGAAGCAGTGACACTCTTGAGAATATGTTAATATTTTCCTAGGAAAAATGCCAGCTACATCCAAAGGGTAGGAACAGTGCTTTCCTTGTAGGTATTCTGTTCCTAGTGACTGTTTTCTCCTGTACTTAAATCGTTTCTATGCAGCACTCAGCTCATTGGCTTCATTTACTTTGCCCCAGTCTGTTAAGGCTCCATCTTTGTGTCTGTTCTATCAATAAATGGGTTGGAACAGTGCTCATGCGGTCACCCTATTATTTCCCATAGTTTAGTGGTAAGGCCACTTATTGGAGTCACTCAGATAATTCAACTGTTTCTTCTACTTTGAGACAACCATGCAATGGTTTTACTTGGAGAGTTTGTATGGTTTGGCCTGCTGGCCTGTAAAAGGGGGAAATGGAACCTTTTGACATATATTGAATCATTAAGTACTTCTTGGGTTTATTCATTCACCAAATTGTAATTCAATGCAAAAACCTAGGAGTTAAGTCTGTAGTTCTACCTGCCTGAGAGCAGCAGTCCCATGTTTGTTTGGAAAGGCTGGGGCTTGTCAAGGGAGCACTTGCATATGGCTAGTTATTGTCATTGGCTTAAAGTTGACACTTAAATGAAATTATTAGCAGAAATGCTTTCTTGGGGCCAAAGTAAGACAGTTTCACATTTGCTTAAAAGCCGAGCTGGTGTAGGAGGTGTGATGAGCCAGGCCTGCCTCTGCTCCCACCCTCTCTCTGTCTCTGTCTCTGATCTTCTTAAGATGTGATTGTTTTCAGTTTCATTTTCATTAACTTTGCTAACTGTATTTTCTTTTTTTATGAGCTCCCAAAGGCAGGTACAAAAGACTAGGGTAAAGGATGGCAAAGTAATCCTCATGGACACCTCAGTCCCCTGTAGACAGTATGATTTTCCTTCTATTTCTTCATTTTTGGTGGCTATAAAAAGAAGAGATGGATAGTAAAGAGAGGCAGAAAAGACCATAGAAAGAGGGCTAGGGATGCAGCTCAATGGTAAAGCCCTTGCCTAACATGCACAAGGCCTTAGGTTCAATCCCCTGCAGTGCAAAGAAAAAGAAAAGCTAAAAGTAGGGGGAAAGTATAATGAGGCTGTGGAATAGGGATGGAAGACTCCTGGGTTTTTGTTGAGACTTGTTGAAAACTCTAGAAGGGAGGGCTTCATCAGTCACCGCACACCAGGCATTCAGAAAGTCTAGAGCAGTGGAGGGCTAGACACCCCTTTCTCCCTCCTCCTCAACCACCCTTGCCATCTACCTGTCCACAGAAGATGCCACAGGGCAAAACCTTGAAATAAGAGAGAACTGTCCTCAAAAAAAAAAAAATTTAAGCCTCTCTAGGAGTTCAAATAAAGTTTCATTTTAAATGCAGAAGACATAAACTCATCACCTTGTTTTATTACTGAGCACTTTAGAACTCCTCAGAAAAGAACACCGCAAACTCATGAGAGAACAATGATTTGTGATCCCCTCTTTCTAATCTTTTCGATTCTATGGAAAAGGTGCAAAATGTAGGATCTGCTAGGGAGGCAGAGCTGAGATTTGGGCAACTCCCTGTAAGCAGTAGGCCAGGTTGCCCAGCCTGCCCTGCCTCCGGCCAGGCCAAGGGCAAGTCTTTTCAGCCTGAGCCTCTCTTTTCCACTTATGTGAAGAGGCTGCCCTAAGTCCTCCCTTCCTTGTCTCGTATTTTAAATTTCAAGTGTCAAGATCGTATTTAAAAATCTTCCCTCGATTTTCTAGTTGAGATTTTAGTTACAGCATTGAAGGACAGTCTCTATTACCTATGACATTTTAAGTCTTAAGAAATTAAAACAAAATAAAATTGACATTTTTGGGCATCTGGCTTTGAAAAGCCAACGTCTTAAATCATCCCCAAAGTGCAGAATCTATGTTTACGTCCTAGGCATGCATTTTAACCCTTCTTTCAGTAATTGTTAAGGGTCTTATGGAGCTGCAAAGAATGTAGAAGATTGACTTTAATAACTTTTGGAGAATCTCATGACCCAAAACACAAAAAGTGTGCTTGTCTTTCTACTGGAGCTCACCTTGGGCTGATACTGTAGCTCCAGGTAGGATAAACCCACCTCCATCACCCCAGGTTGGAGCAATTCCTAAGGAGAGTTTTGAAAGACAGCATGGTCAACAGGCATGTTCTTTTCAGGGCTTAAGAGAACAATATGAGGAAGTGAACAAAGTTTAAGAAAGGTGGGGAATTACATGTCACAATGACCTTGCCTTGGCTGAGTGACTTTAGAAAGGTGACTTTCGTTATCCATGACACACTCCTTTGTGACACGGGGCTGATGCTGCCTTTGTCATTGTGGGGCTTCTAGGAGATGCTTGTGGGACATTTGGCTGATGTCGGAGCCTGATGGGAGCGTACAAGCAGCCATCCTGTGCAGGGTGCCCACAGTGTGCTGGAGATTCACGTGCAGCATCTTCTTTGATTATCAGGATAACTCCAGGGCTCTAGTCCCACTTTCATGTCGTGGTGAGGAAGGTGACACCCAGAGGGGTTCTCTGCATAACCTGCGACAGCTCACAAGAGCTGAGATCTGAAATAAGAACATTCTACTGCTTTACAGATACTGTTTTCTTCTCCTTACCTTACTTTGTCTTGGCCAGGTTTTCTCAAAAATCATACGCTGTTTCAGTGTGTTCGCAGGCTTGGTCAGCACTGTTGGGTCCACATGGTTAGAATCCCAGTTGAGTTCTACTGAGAGAAAGGGAAATTTTCCCTGAGAGTCCTCGGCTGTGTCACATAAACCTTGTCTGGGTGCTGCTGTTCTTACAAAGCAAGCTGGCTCCTTCCCCTTCTCTGTGCATCTGTTTTGTTCCCTGCTTCCTCTGCCTACTCTGGGCCTGACACACTTGCTTGTGTGTGTAAAAGGTTCCAGCGAAAGGATTCATTGGCTGTTATGATGTACACCCAAAATGTCCCCCAACAGTCTCGCGTATTTGAAAGGCGACTGGATCGCGGGGTGCTGTCCTCATCAGTAGATTCCTCATTGATTGGCTCCGCAGTTTGTGTGCTGTTAAGAGATACAGGCCGAGTCAGAAGACCTGGAAGGATGTGTTCTTGTCCTTGACTCCTGCCTTTCTTCTCTGCTTCCTGGCTGCTCTGGTGGGCAGCTTGTTCTGCCGTGCCTTTCCATCATACCATTTCTGGCCTGGAGCTAGCCAGGTATGGACTGAAACTCCCAAACTCTCCTTTAAGTTGTGGTGTGAGGTACTTTGACTTAATCACAGGAAATCTGAGTAATATACTGGCCCATCTCAGAATGAGATGCTCATCTTTAGGCTGGTAAACTGTGCTGTGAGAGTGGAAATACACTAGAATTTAGCCTGTCCCACCTTCCTAGTATAGAGAGGGAGGGTGTAAGATGTGTCTTCTAAAACAGAGCTAGGTGGAGAGCAGTGCTCGACTTCCATTCCCTGAGTGGGCTCCTGCAGGCATCAAGTCT